GATACAAACAGAGACTCGGCCCACCAGTCCCAAAACGAAGACAATTTTGCGACCCTTGGGCTAGACTTCTTAAATGAGTCAGGAAAAGAGTGGATCTATCGAGCGATCGATCGGCCGCAGCAATCGTCGATTTCACACTAGAGGATGGAGAAATCGTCTGGACGGACGAATCGTCTGGCATTTGTTCGTCAAATTTGAATTCGAGAAGGCCATATGCCGAAAAGTTGTCCGTCTTATGAGCACAAAGAGAACTGGCACGAGGTCGTGTTGTAAAGCAAAATGGCTAACTTACACAAATTCTCGCGTAGGTATCAATTTGCTATTTGTTCCCAAGCCCCAACTATTTGGAATGATATCCCTCTGACTTTCCGTAACAGCCTTACCATTAGTAACTTCAAAAAGAAGCTTAAATTGTACTTCTTGAACCTGAATTAAATTTTTTGCCACCAAAATTGAATATTATACTCAACCTCTGGTGTAACCGGACTATTGTTTACTACTTAGATTAATCTTCTGCTCTTTGTAAATTTGTGAACATTCTACTGAACTTCTAATATACCCTGATTATTGTTTATTACCTAGAATTGATTACATTAGATGAGATTAGATTAGAATGCCTTAGATTAGTCTACTGTTCTTTGAAGAATTAGTCTTTGTCTCTGACCATAAGCCATTTAAGCCTCTGGCTTTGGCCGATCTTAGGAATTCACTTGTATGACACAAACAATAAAAAAATAAGCATAAAAAAAAGTCAAAGTGAATCTACACTCGTGGATTGATTGTGTGACGTAAAAAAAAATACGCGACATGTTAAGAATTGATCACGAGTCGAGTTTATCTCTTTGGTAAATAAAATTTAAATAAATTTCGAGGGGTCTGAGCTTTCGTGACACCTGCCTGTTGCAACTTGTTTTTAATGATCTGCCAGGGACTGCCATGTTCTCTTTCATCTGCTGAACAAAAAAAATTCGTGCGTTCACATATCTCGTTTGCAGAACACTACCGTTGCGTTCGGTTTCCTTCTTTTAGTAGTTGGAGCTAACGATGCCGACGCCAAGTGCTGTCTGTTGCTGCTCGAGAAACTAGACTAAGTTAAACTTTCGCAAGCCGTGTACGGCTGAAATAAGTTTCGAAAATTTTCCAGTACTCGTCCATTGGTTTCCCGTCCGCTCACAGCACTGGCTACTGCGTCGTTCCTTGGAGAACCATTTTCGGGGCCCTAAGATGCATGTTCCCTAAGAAGACGGGTCGCCTCTTCTAATAAATATCATAACAGAATGTCTCAATATCATAACTGTATGTCTCAATATCATAACTGCGTGTCTGAATATCATAACTGTATGTCTGAATGTCATAACTGCATGTCTGAATGTCATAACTGCATGTCTGAATGTCATAACTGCATGTCTGAATGTCATAACTGCATGTCTCAATGTCATAACTGCATGTCTGAATGTCATAACATAATGTCTCAATATCATGACTGCCTGTCTGAATATCATAACATAATGTCTCAATATCATGACTGCCTGTCTGAATATCATAACTGCATGTCTCAATGTCATAACTGCCTGTCTGAAGATCATAACTGCATGTCTGATTGTCATAACAGAATGTCTCAATATCATAACTGCCTGTCTGAATATCATAACTGCATGTCTGAATATCATAACTGCATGTCTCAATGTCATAATTGCCTGTCTGAATATCATAACTGCATGTCTCAATGTCATAACTGCATGTCTGAATATCACAACTGCATGTCTCAATATCATAACTGCATGTCTCAATATCATTACAGAATGTCTCAATATCATAACTGCCTGTCTGAATATCATAACTGCATGTCTCAATATCATAACTGCATGTCTAATTATCATAACTGCATGTCTCAATATCATAACTGCATTTCTCAATATCATAACAGAATGTCTCAATATCATAACTGCATGTCTTAAATTTTGACGGTAATTACACTTCATAATGTACAGCTTGTTCAGAGTAATTAGGCCTCCTCAACAGAAGAATGTCTGTGTTTCTAGAATAACTAAATATACAACTTATAATACCTATATATACCTTATAATTGAAACCTAGCATTTTATCCAAACAAAATATAATTTAAATAAATTTACTGCCAATTTGCAAAAAAAACACCCTCACGGAAATATTTTTTACTTACTTTTAAACAATTTGGTTTTTGTTTATTACATTCACTAAACACAGCTTGAGCTGAAAATGATACATTCTGTCTGGCATTAAAGCTTATGTTAACCTACAAACCCTCTCTAAGTCTAATACACAAAACAGATGAATTTCAAGGCATGGCTATCATGATGACTATGGTTTTCCACATAGAAAGATGTTTACATGAAAGTATAGTGTTCATTGGGGGTGTGGTTCTGACGAGGAACTAATGATAGTAACTGGTATTTCAATGCCACAAAATGTTCACCAATTGTAGTGACATTAAGTATTTACTTTTTTTGTAATTTTTTTGGTCAAAGTCACTTCACAGTCACATCTCACCAATGTACATAATTGTATCTCTACAAATCGATTTAGTTTGAAGTGTCCTAAAACCATCAACAGGTATTGTACACTTGAAAACTACTCTAGGTGTACAAATGAATGATCCTTTCAACAGCTCTACAACTACTAATCCTCCTTTCACTTATTTACAGGGATTGTCAAAAAACAGACTGGAAAAATCACAAGGCTTCTTGCACTGCATTCAAAAAAAATCCTGAGGTATAAAGAGGATGTTGCTAAAGTTTGACACTGCATCTCAATGTCAATTGCATTGTCGGAAATGAGACATTAATTTCTGAACTTAACAAAGCTTTAGAAGAGCTTCTGTACTGGTGCAAAACAAACTCCCTTGTGCCTCATCTNCCATAACACTTGAACAACTACTTAAAGAGTTCTGAATTCAGCGAATCTGTGTTTATGCAAGTCTCTACAGTTCATACAAAGTCCTTGAACCTTGTAGGCGGCTTAATAATCCTGGTACGAGTACGCTTCACAGGTACGGGGTCAGTTATGGGATCAGGTACAGGATCAGGTACATTTGGGCTGACTTTTCTTTCAATAGGCGCTTCTGGAACATGTACTTCAATTGACTCATAGTAACTTTTGGTGAAGTTTCTAGACCAACTTCTACTGCTGACTGTTCCTGTAGTTTGAGAAACTGCCTGTTACGACGAATGGTTTCACTACCAGTCTTCAAAAGGTAAGACCTGTCAGTTGCTTGACAAGAGTTCCTGCTTGACAGCTCTTGCCTCTTTGCAGTGGTGCTTCTCTGACCTCTTGACCCATTTCCAATGGCGGCAATGACTTTGCTGTTTGGTCATGGTAACTCTTTGCTCTCTGCCTTTTTAGCTTGATTTGACCTTCTACGCCTTCCACGACACGAGGACGGAGGAGGGTTGAGGCTGTTGGCATGAGAGTCTTTGTTCTTCGGGACATAAGTCGCTGTGCTGGACTTGATCCTATGGTTTCGACGGGTGTGTTTGTGTATTCAAGTAAGGCAAGCCAGGGATCTTTATTTAACAGACTCTTGGTGATTTTCACTGCGGATTCAGCTTTCCCATTTGACTTGTGATGATGGGGCGACGAGGTTACATGTTTGAACTCCCACTCTATGGCAAATTTCCTGAATTCATGGCTTGTTCGTTGTTGACCATTATCTGAAACAAGTACGTCTGAAATTCCGTGTCTGCTGAACTGTTCCTTCAGAAATTGAATGATGGTTGGTGAAGTTGTGTCACTGAGTTCTTGGACTTCTACGAAGTCTGAGTAATAATCCACAAGGAAAATATACTCTTTTCTCTGAAGGGTAAACATGTCAACTGCTAGTCGACTCCAGGGACGATCTGGAACTTTTAATGTCTGCATTGGTTCTTTAGGGTTCCTTGCTTGAAACTCTGCACACAGAGAACACTTTGCGATTGCTTCCTTTATCTCACTGTTCATTCCAGGCCAGAAGACTACATCTCGAGCTTTCCTCAGACAAGCCTCAATGCCGAGGTGACTTGCATGGCTTCTGGAGATGATTTCTGGTCTAAGGGCCTTAGGGATGATGAGGCGTTGGCTCTTGAACAGTATTCTATTATGCAAGGAAATATCTTCTCTGCAGGTCCAATATTTTCTCATTTGAATAGGTGTCTCACCTCTCTCTTCTGGCCATCCTATCACCACTGTGCTCTTAACAGTTTGCAGTACTAGGTCTTGCTCTGTTGCTTTTTGTAACTGCGCTAGCCTTTCGCTTGACACGGCCAGGGAATCAAACGGGTTCAAGGCTTCGACTTCTAATGCAAACACTTGAAATTCTTCATCCTGTTCTTCTTGGTTGGGAAGATAGGCTCTGGAAAGATGATCTGCTATGTACATTTGTGAGCCAGGTTTGTACTGGTCATCTAGATTGTACGTTTGCAGTCGGAGCAGCATCCGCTGAAGTCTGCAGGGGGCAGCTAGTAGTGACTTCTTAAATATTGCTTGAAGTGGCTTATGATCAGATTCTACTGTAATGTTCTCTCTTCCGGATAGGCACTGATCGAATCTTTGGCACGCGAATACATTCGCAAGACACTCTTTTTCGATTTGTGCGTATCTTCTTTCAGTTGGTGTGAGTATTTTGGATGCAGAAGCTGCAGGCTTCCTCTTTTGCAGAAGGGTAGCCCCTAGTCCCTTTTCACTAGCATCGCACAGTATGGTCACTTAATCTTTGCAGTCGTAATATGCAAGAACAGGATGGTTGACAACTAGCTGTTTCACTTCCTTGAAAGCTCTGTCGTGCTGCTTCGCCCAGGTAAATTTGGCATCTTTGGTTGTCAGGTCCCTCGGGGGCTGTACCACATCCGAAAGTCTTGGTAAGAACTTCGCAAGGTAGTTCATGAACCCTAGCAAGGTGAGTACTTCTTGCTTGCACGTTGGTCGAGGCATCTCTTCAACGGCTATGACCTTATCCGGGTCAGGTTTTAGGCCATCCTTACTCACTATGTGACCCATGAACTTCACTTCCTGCTTCTTGAGCTTAATCTTCTTACCGTTGAGGCAAAGATTGACTTTGCGTGCTCTTTCTAGCAATTTGGTCATGTTCTGATCGTGGTTTCTGAGAGCTTGCTCTTGGGTGTCGCCAAACCCCATGACTATGATGTCGTCTCTAATGACTTCAACACCTTCTAAGTCCGCTAGCTCCTCTTGTAGGTTGTTCTCAAACTCTTCAGGGGCCACACTGATTCCGAAAGGCATTCTGAGATAACGATAGCGACCAAAAGGGGTCCAGAATGTCGTCAACTTGTTACTGGTTTCATCGAGGCTGATATGGTAAAAGCCGCCTTTAGCGTCTAGTGTGCTGAGGACCTTGGCCTTGCATAGCTTTGGCAACAGTTATTCGAGAGTAGGCATTTGATACTTTGGACGCTGAATAACTTTGTTGAGCTCTGGAGGGTCTAGACAGATCCGAATTTTTCCTGGTTTGGCCACTACGACCATGTTGCTAATCCACTCTGTTGGAGCTGTTTCTTTCTTGATTATCCCTTTTTTTCTAGATCTGCAAGTTTGGCGTTTACTTCGTTTCGGAGGGGTACTGGTATCCGCCTTAAAGTGTGCTGAACAGGCATGGCAAATCGATCGACTATGAAGCTGCTACAGCCGATGTGCCCGAGTCCCTCAAAGACATTTCTGTAATCTTGCAATATACACTGTGTAGTCAAAGGAACATTCTTCTCATGTAACCTTAACACTTCAGCTTGGGATCCTAGTTTGAGAGGTCCCAACTTTTGACAGGTTTCGGCAGACAGCAAGGGTTCGTTTGAACCACCAACAATTTGAAACTTGAGCACGTGAGTTTGACTACCATATGTGACTCTAAGATCGACTACTCCCACAGGTTTCATCATGGATCCATCAAACAGCTTGAGCTTTGTTTTACTTGTTTCCATGGGGGGATTCCCATTTTGTGTAATGATCGATAAATCTCTGTAGCTGAGTACGTTGCACGTTGCACCAGTATCAAGTTGGCACTTGATGGGGGTTTCTTGCTTGGCTTGTTGATTGTGAAAACTGAGCGTCGCAAGCCATCGGTTACCACTAGATTCCGCAGTCGAGAGTTCTTCAACTTTTAAGATCGATTCCTCCGAACTTTCACAACTCTCTTCCAGGAGATGGACTTCACATCTCTTTCTTGTCATACAGACTGAAGCGAAATGATGCCATTTTTGACAGAAACTGCATTTCTGATGGTGTGACGTTGTTGTTTGCCACAGAATTTACACTTTTCATTTTCAGAGTGCTTCTTGTTTGGGGTTCCTTCTCTCTTCTTTCCTCGTCTGTATTTGCCGCTCGACTGCTTCTTGAAATTCTTGCCTTTTCCTTTTTCAACTAAGTTTACTTCTTCTTTTGTTGCTCTACTGTCGCATTTCATGGACGTCCAACTGTTGTAATTTCGTCAGAACGGGCAATGTCGAGTGCTTTATCGAGTGTGAGGGATTTCTCTCGCAGGAGCTTCCTTTTAGTACCTTTATCGAGAAGGCCAATAACTAATCTGTCGCGGATTAAGTCATCATTAAGTGATCCAAATTCACATGACGAGGCATATTTTCGTAGACGAGTACGAAGCTGTCTGCTGACTCTCCTGAATTTTGCTCACACGAATTGAAAATATACCGCTCGTAAACAACGTTGCGTTTCGGTTTGAAGTAGTTTTCCAACGCGCCCATGCATGCTTGAACGTTGTTCCTCTCCTCGGCTGAAATACTGAGATTAAGAAAAGTCTGAAGATAGTCTTTGCCCATCACGGAGCGAAACGATGCTAATCTTATCTTTGAATCTTGCTTATCGAGGCCGGACGCACTTCATAATCCTCCCATTGTTGACGGAAGAACTCCCAGTCACTCACAAGATTTTCTTTGCAAACCATCGGTGCTGGCACAGCAAAATTCTATGGAACGAACGTGGCAGAAACCACAACGGCTTGTGTGTTGGTCCCAGGTGTTAGAGCGTTCGTGGCGCTTGTTGCGGGTTGCTCTTGTTCGGTGTCCGACATGTTGTGTTACAATGCTTGTTTGTTTGCGGTTAATTCGGCAATTGATCTGCTTAAACTAACGAAAACTGCTTCGGAGTGTTTCCTTTGGTCGGTAACGTAATTTTACTGCTGAGTTGCGATGTAATTCAGGTTAAAATCGGCATTTTAATTCCTGACACCATGTTAGACAACCGAGTCCAGACCATGTGCTTTTAACAACTAACTTTAAGTACCAAATAAGGTCAAACAGAAAGGATGCGTTAAGTCAATCAAATATAAAACGATCCTATTGTCCAAATCATGTCACTTTATCGCAAAATCAACCGGAAATCAGACTAACGTTTAACAACCTCTGATAGCAAGGGGAAGATCAGAGGACAGCCTTCTGTGTTCCTTTCTTGTACTGTTTCTCGTTCACAAATCACATTTCAAGCGAAATAAGTAATATTCCCCCGCAAAAACTATTCTAACTTATTATTTTTCATGCTATATGAATATACATGCTTCTAAGTATGTGCGTTGTGAGTATGCGTGTATGTGAGTATATGCATGTATAAATTATACATGTGAGCAAGTAGCTGACACCTTTCAATAGTGCTCAATACACTGCCACCTCATTCGTAATACCTTAGCCCCATTGTAATGCCGCAATTGTAAATAACAATAATTTTTTTATCACACCCCTATATATAAACTAGCTTGTAAGGAACGTTCTTCATTAAATCTGTCTGATGAGTGCGTAAGCACGAAACTCCGAGTAACAGAAACCATGTGTCGTCTTGTTTGATCGCTACCTACTGTATAAAATTATATATTTTTTAAGTTTCTAACAAAATTTTCCAGTAACAGTTATATAAACACCAAAAAGGACCGTTCCAATTTATATGAAATTAACTCAGACACAGGTATTCTTTGGTCTGTTG